GATTGTTGCATTTAAAGTTTGCATTTGGAGCGCTCAACAACGCCATTAGATCAGTGGGCTCTGTCAGTGCTTTGGCAAGGTAACACTTTTTTTTGCCATGCAATAAAGCTAAGTTCAAAGGCCAATTTAAAAGATTGGTACAGTAAATGAAGTGCACAAAATCAGTATTTTGTTTAGGCAGTATTTGTGGCACTTTTGTGGTATATATATATATAATTGGGGGGGGGGAAATAGGGATTTCGCCTAGGGCGTCAAATTGGCTAGAAACGGCCCTGCATAAACCACAGCACTGAGCATCACAGACCGCTGCTAACAGCACAGCATTTACTGGGAATTCACATGATAAAGCTGTCAGTAACCAGACAGACATGAGAGAAGCTCTGCTCTGAGTTTACTGTGAAAGCAATGCAATGATTCACCTGTCATTTTACACTGAAATCTAACTAAATGTTGTTAACTAATATTTCTCAGAATGCTCTAAGAAATGTACTGTAAAATTTCCACTACTTTACTGCCAATTGTACTTTGCAGAAAGTAACTGAAGTCTGTGCACCTTGAGATGAGGCTTATAACAAGAAATATGCTTTCACAGATGCGTTATGCATTTGTGAAAGTTGCTCTTGGCTTTGGCATTGTTAGTATCATGCAGCAATCTCATAATGCGGGGAAATGTGGTTATATTTTTTTATTTTAATCAAGTAATGTAATTTATTGTTTGATGAGAGAAAATCACGCATTTAACTAAAATCCCTAAACCCGCATTTATTTCCATGTAAAATTCTGAATATAATATTTGCTGAAACATTAAAGGGATAGTTCACCCAAAAATGAAAAGTGATGTTTATCTGCTTACCCCCAGGGCATCCAAGATGTAGGTGACTTTGTTTCTTCAGTAGAACACAAATTATGATTTTTAACTCCAGCCGTTGCAGTCTATCAGTCGTATAATGCATGGCAATGGTAACAAAATCTATGAGAGTAAAAAAAAACATGCACAGACAAATCCAAATTAAACCCTGCGGCTCGTGACGACACATTGATGTCCTAAGACACGAAACGATCGGTTTGTGCCAGAAACAGAACAGTATTTATATCATATTTTACCTCTAATACACCACTATGTCCAACTGCTTTGAGCGCGCGCACAGCATCCGGTGCGTGAGGTGTGTATGTGCTCTGGCGTAGTTTACACAAGCGCCAGAAGTGATCTCTCGCGCGTATACTTTCATTTTTGGGTGAACTATCCCTTTAACATGTGTCTTGGAGGAACATGCAGTGACTGTATGGTAAGGCCAACGCTCAGCATAGCATGCCAAACCTGTGAGGTTCGAACCACGCATGGGGAACCTCACAGATTTGGCATGCTATGCTGAGTGAGTATGCCTTACCATACAGTCACTGCATGTTCCTCCAAGACCTTGCTGTAAATTCTACAATAAACTTATAACACCAGAGAATACATAACGTGAGTTTAATAATACAGGCTGTTAAAAAAATCAACCCTGCAATTTGGTTCTTATTTGACGGTAACAAGGACACCTTTTTAAAATAAAGCATAACCAAACGTTCAGAGTGACATTGACAGTCTATCCTCTCTCAGATCAATGTCTTCAAAGCATGGGTTTCAAACAGCATTGCCACGATCTCATTGGCCGATCTAAGATGTCTCTCGTGGGGGTTTCTGTGCAGGTTACGGGCACGCGGCCCCCGGCACAGACGCAGGGAAGGTCTTCTGCATGTTCTATGCGGGTCTGGGCATCCCGCTCACGCTGGTGATGTTCCAGAGTCTGGGCGAGAGGATGAACACCTTCGTCCGCTACCTCCTCAGCCGCGTCAAGAAGTGCCTAGGGCTGCATCGCACTGAGATTTCCATGGAAAACATGGTGTTGGTGGGGTTCCTGTCCTGCTTGGGAACTCTGTGCGTGGGGGCTGCCGCCTTCTCACACTTTGAGGGCTGGACCTTCTTCCACGCGTACTACTACTGCTTCATCACCCTCACCACCATCGGCTTCGGCGACTTCGTGGCTCTTCAGAAGAAGGAGGACCTCCAGGAGAAGACCCCTTACGTGGTCTTTAGCTTCATGTACATCCTCGTGGGGCTGACTGTGATCGGAGCCTTCCTCAACCTGGTGGTGTTGAGGTTCCTCACTATGAACAGCGAGGACGAGAAGCGGGATGCGCAGGAGCGGGCCTCGCTGAAGAGGGGCCGTAACCTCACGGCCCTGAGTTTGGGGCAGGAAAATCACTGCCACAGCAACCTGTTCTTGCCCATCGAGGAGGGCACCAGCTGCACCAACCTCATCCTGTCGCCGGCAGAGGAGCGCAGGCTCTACTCGCCTCTGCCCCTGCCCTTAAACGCCAGCCAGTCTCGGCCCCAGCTCAGCTCGCTCTGCAGCTGCGTCTGCTATCACCTGGGCCTCTGCCACTGCTCAGCCCCATCCCCAAACAAGTGCCCTGAGTGCAACATCAACTCGGTGTACTGCAATTCCGTCTCCTACAAGATTCAAGGGTGCTCCTCGAGCAGGAACGATACGGTTGTGTCCTCTCCAGGCAGCACACTTTCTCCTGGGCTCAGCCTCCGAGACCTGCCACGCTTCAGGAGGAAGTCATTGTAACAGGGAAGAACTTTGAAGTGTCTGGTTTAGATAGCGAGAATGCAGTAAGAGCATGTCTTTTGTAGCACGAGTTAGCAAAGGCCATTTTTAAACACTACAGATAAGTGAGCATGTCTTTCTAAAGGACAGCAGTTGAGGACTTGCCATTATAATCAGGGTTGGGGAGTAGCAGAGCACATTGTAACTTACGCATTTAAAATGCAAAATATGAGTAACTGTGTTTCATTACAGTTACATTTTGAATGAGTGGTAGTCAAATTATAGTTACATCCAAAAAGTATTTTAGATGACTAAAGTGATTAATGTTTAAATGACATTAAAATTCAATGTAAACTGTACTGGGCAATTAGTGGAAACAGCAATTGGTGATTCTCTGAATCTGACGGTCTGCAAAAGCATCCTAAGATAGGTTTTTTTTCATACCCCTTGCAGAAAATGCAAAATGTTAATTTTTTTTAACAAGATTAGAGGGATCATAAAAACTGCATTTTAGTACTGTCCCGAATAAGTGATTTCACACAACAGATGTTTAGATACTGTACTCCACAAGACAAAATAACTGAATTTATAGAAACTGTAGGACTGTTGTCATGTTTTGTGATGGTTGTTCATGAGTCTCTTGTTCGTCCTGAGCATCGCTGTTCTTCAGAAAAATCCTCCAGATCCTCACTTTCTCAGGTTTTCCCGTAAACATAAAACCATGTCTGCATTTGTGATCGGAGAAATGACAAACAACAAGCGCTACTGTACACTGCTTAAACTCGTGCTTGAATCATCAGTGGCAAATTCTTTAAATTAAAAAAAACTTACTTATAGGCTGCGAGTCGTGACGTAGACGTGGGGGCATGTTAGAACGAGCCGTTTTAGGTAGGCATGGACAAGTCTTAACTTTTATAAAAAATATCTCTTTGGATTTGAGACTTTAGTCTTTGCAACTTTACAGATCTTCTTTATGCACCAAGAGCTTGTAACACTTCAAACAGAAAGGAAAAATTGAAATCACATCATATGACCCCTTTAAATTCTGATGGAAATAATTTTGACAATGAGTCTACAATTAAAAACCCTCAGAAAGATGTACAGTATGTTTTCAATTATCTGATTGTTTAATATTTAAGGAGAGCCATTTACTGTAAATTAATTGTCCATTAACGTTTATGGTAAACGGTTGTAAACAAATAAAAAGTTGTACACTTCCTGATTTTCATTTGTCACTTACAACAGTCCATACAAAGACTGAAAAATGCAAGAATATCATTATCATAATTTTCTCAATGCTTCACAATTCTGAGCAATTTTACTATGATTTTTATGAAACGGTTGTCAAAGTGATTTTACTGACTGTATGAAGTGTTTTTCAAAAATGAGGGCAGAACGGCAGGTGAGTCGACCAATGAAATCGAAGCGGGGGAGGGACTACCTCAGACACGCTGTTAAATACAGTACTTGCAGAAAATGCTATATGTTGCGCTGTTGCATGTTCTTAACTACTTTTAAGTATTTGCTATATATTTTGTTAAAATTTCAACAGCCTAGTGAGTAGTATATAAGGCTGTATTAGAAAAGTAATTTTATTGTGTACTGAACTAGCAACCTTTTGGGACAAGTGTAGATTGTTGTCACGTTTGGTCTGGATATGACACGTGGGCCAACATTTAGAGTTTAAAAAAAAAATAATTTATATGAGGTTTATGGCCCAGGTGACAGCACACAACTGGAAACCATGACATAACATGGAATATGGTTAACATTTGATTCATTACTGGCAGCAATTATTTCCCTCTCTGCTTCCTCTTACGAGCAACAGCCATTAGCCAAACAAACACCAATCAGCTTCAGGTGAGCAGATCATATGAGAATGCTGAGATTATACAAATTCACATTAATTACCCACCAATATGCCAAAATGTAAAATAGTTATGAACTTTTATGAGAGTGTGTTTGCAACGAGACTAGAATAGGTATAGTGTATATCTGCAGCTTTCAGCTCCTTGAGAAAAACAAGAAAAACCTCCTGATGAGGTAAGTAGCTTATTTTAAAACAGTTTTATTTTGAAGGAATTTGTAGAATAAATTCTAAAGTAAAATAGACTGAAAAAATAGGAAGGAATATAGTTTGTTCCTAATATGTCTACCAGCACTGTACGTAGAGATCAGACGACACACAGAAGAACTGTTCATCACTGACTTCAAACACATCATTATGTGAAAGCCTTATTTTATGTGTTTGGTGTGTATAGTAAATCATAACGGATCCATTGAAATCTGGTTCTGTTTGCCATCGCACCTTGACTTGTGCTTATCTGTAAAAATCCGTACACTGTCACAGAACACAAGGAAACCAGTGCTAAGGTTGATGAAAATTAATTAATTTTTTATTTTTATGAATTTCATAAAAGTCCATATATTACAGAACAGTGAAGATGGAGATGTAAGATATTTGTTCAAATGATCACAAATGTCTTTTCAATTGTGCTAACTAGATGTTTTCACATAAGTGTATATACTACATATGCATACTCAATATCAGTAATCAAATTACAGATAAACCGTACAGTTTGCTAAGTAAACACACGTATCCCACAATTGTCACAGATTATTTGTGCAGTATGGTATAAAAGCTGTTTAACAGCCAGTGATAATTGTCTTTAATGTCAATTTGCCACAGTTTTTGAGTGTGCTGTCCCCTTACGGGTGAATCCATCTTTAACCCCCATTAAAAATGTTTTTTTTTTTTAGGTTTGAGTTTATACTGTATCATATGATACAGTATACAGTGTCAGAGCAACAGTAAAGCATGAAAATGTCTACATCCTAAACATTCAGTCCCCTAAAACATGATGAGAACAACATCACACCGGCATGTCACGCGGTAAACTGTTGAAGAACACCATACTATATACTGTAAATGTACATGAGGATTCCAATAAAGAAATCTATATACAACTTATTATGTGTAAAATTTGAACTTTGGCTATTTGTCTGCAATTTTGCGTTCCCTTCGATTAAAATTTATGATTACAGTATTTAAAATTGAAATAAACAAAACTAAATAAATAACAAAATAAACATGGAAAATAAACATCAGTATTTCCATTTGTGCTATCAGAACATTAATCCATTCATCCATCCATTCAATCAATCGACAAAATTTACAGTGCAAAATAAACAAATAATTACAGAAAAAAGCTAAAGTATCCGAGACTTCAGTGTGCTGGTAGAGAAAATAATATCTCCTGTATGATAAAAGTAGGATTAAAAAATAAACTCCAAACCCTTGTAAAAAATCTAATTTATTTGTTTCCGTTTATAGAGTTTGATTCTGATTCCGTAGCAAGCCTGTGAGCCAGGGCTGGTGGAGAATCCTCTGTTTTTCCAGCATCCAGAGTAAAGAGGGATGCACACAAAAAACTGCCCCACACATTAGCCATGTCTCTTTATTGCTGATAGTTTCCATACTGACCCTTTGTGGAGAAAAATAAAAAAATAAATACATAATGGCATTTAATAAAAGACATCAGACATTGGATGAAATCTGATGGGTGAACTGACCCTCTCATTACTGGGCTGGGTCACTTTGTCATTGTACAGGACGGTCATGGTGTTCACCTGTTCAAAAGAGTAGGACCTCTGTGATGGGGCGGCTGGTCCTGGCTGAATGGAGCGGTATGATGGGTACTGCTGACTCTGGCCCTGCTGATACTGAGGATACTGGGATGAGCTGCCCTGCCCTGCACCTTCAGAGCCAAACAGCACAAGTCTGTATATTGCTGTATATCATCTGTAGGGATCAATTAATACTGAATGAAATCGATGTAATCTGATGTAGTCTGTTACCGTATCCCTGAGGCTGAGCGCTGTAGCCGGCTTGGGATGGGTACAGATGTTGGCTGAACGTCTGGTGCGTCCCAGAGCCTTGTTGGTACTGTGTCTGCTGTTGGCTGTACTGAGAGTTTCCTGAAACATAATTGAGATCATGAATGATGGGAGAACTGAATAGTTCAGCCCTTGTTCCCCTGAGAGATCAGGGCATTCGCATTCTCAACTACCTCGACGACTGGCTCATACTAGCTCAGTCTCAGGATCAGTTGTGCAAATACAGGAATTGGTTCTCTCGCACCTCAGACCTTGCGTTTCTCCAAGCAGGAGTGCCCTTGGAACAGGTCTCCAGGCATGCTGTGGTTTACACGGATGCCTCCACCACTGGCTGGGGGGCTACGTACAACGAGCATGCAGTGTTGGGGGTTTGGACGGGCCCCCAACTGCACTGGGACATCAACCGCCTAGAGTTGTTAGCAGTACGCCTTGCCTTGAGCCGTCTCAGAGGGCGCTTACGAGGCAAGCACGTGCTGGTCCGCACGGACAACACTGAGACCGTTGCGTACATCAACCGACAAGGTGGTCTATGCTCCCGTCGCATGTCGCAACTCACCCACCACCTCCTCCTCTGGAGTCAGAAGCATCTGAGGTCGCTTCGTGCCACTTAAATTCCGGGCCCCCTGCGCATGTCGCAACTCACCCACCACCTCCTCCTCTGGAGTCAGAAGCATCTGAGGTCGCTTCGTGCCACTTAAATTCCGGGCCTGCACAACCGTGCAGCCTACGAGCTGTTATGAGCTGCGCTCCCCGGAGAGTGGAGACTCCATCCCCAGATGGTAAAAAAATAAAAAAATAAGAACCTTCTTGCACAGACGCTGTCTCCCTCCACCCTTAAAGTCTATGTCGCTGCGATTGCTGCTAACCATGACCCTGTGGAAGGGAAATCGGTAGGGAAGTATGACCTGGTCATCAGGTTCCTTAGGGGGCAAGAAGGTTAAATCCCCCCCGGCCCCCCTCTATACCCTCTTGGGACCTGTCTCTAGTACTCAAAGCACTACAGAAGGGCCCATTTGGGCCTTTGTAGTCAGTTGAGCTGAAATTTCTATCAATTAAAACTCTGCTCCTGCTTGCACTGGCCTCCATCAAGAGGGTAGGAGGCAAGAAGGTTAAATCCCCCCCGGCCCCCCTCTATACCCTCTTGGGACCTGTCTCTAGTACTCAAAGCACTACAGAAGGGCCCATTTGGGCCTTTGTAGTCAGTTGAGCTGAAATTTCTATCAATTAAAACTCTGCTCCTTCTTGCACTGGCCTCCATCAAGAGGGTAGGGGACCTGCACACATTTTTGGTTGACAAATCATGCCTAGAGATTGGGCCGGCTGACTCCCAGGTAATCCTGAGGCCCCAGCCTTGCTATGTGCCCAAGGTTCCCACTACTCCCTTCAGGGATCAGGTGGTGAGCCTGCAAGCGCTGCCCCCAGAGGAGGCAGACCCAGCCCTAGCTTTGCTCTGTCCCGTCCGAGCATTAAGATGCTACGTAGACCGGACACAAAGCTTCAGGACCTCAGACCAGCTCTTCGTCTGTTACGGAGGCCGGCAGAAGGGGAATGCCGTCTCTAAGCAGAGGATGGCCCACTGGATTGTGGATGCCATCAAGGTAATCCTGAGGCCCCGGCCCGGCTATGTGCCCAAGGTTCCTACTACCCCCTTCAGGGATCAGGTAGTGAACCTGCCAGCACTGCCCCCAGTGGAGGCAGACCCAACCCTAGCTTTGCTTTGTCCGTCCGAGCCTTGAGATGGTACGTAGACTGGACACATAGCTTTAGGACCTCAGACCAGCTCTTTGTCTGTTACGGAGGCCGGCAGAAGGGGAAGGCCATCTCTAAGCAGAGGATGGCCCACTGGATTGTGGATGCCATCACCCTGGCTTATCAGGCACAAGGTGTGCCCTGCCCGCTGGTATCCTCCTGTGTTCTCACCTCAAACGGGTAGAGGCACTGAGAGGCCCCGGTTTAGTGTCGGCTTGCTAAAACTGCTACAGAGTGTCCGTACTGTAGACCCTGTCGAGCAACCCTACATTCCCTCGGCAGCCAGACGTGGCAGAACATCCGGTGCCAGGCCCTCATTCGATGAATCTGTGAGAACCGGTAGAGGGCTGGGTTCCATATGTAGAGACCTAAGTGGATCCCAAATGTGTAAAGTCCACGGTATAGCCTCAGAGCCCGTGTTTCCCCAGCAGACTTCTGCCATTTCCATGAGGGTTACAATCACCTCTAATCTTCCATATGCACCTAAACGGATGTCATATGTGTAAGTGCTTCCGAAACCTCCTTCGGGAAGGATGGGGCTTCCGCAACGTTCCTGTTCCAAGTGGTACGGGTACGTTTTCCCAATGTTATCCAATCTCACTAAGTGGGTAGTGCTACGACAACAGTGACTGGTCTTCTTGTTGCTAGCCCCGGCCTACACCAAAAAGGGGCGCAGGAGGCTCGCACAGGACACTGGAAGGGGCAGCATCCATGGCGCTTTGGTAGGTATTCCCAAGTTGATAGAACTTCAGGAACTCACCAATCGATTCTCATGGAAGTACGTTGATTCATCTAGCAATTCTACTGATTAAATTACCAGAAGCAATAAACTAAAGGAACTAGTTACACATAACAGCACCATTTCTTTTTTTTTAAAATCCAGACAAATTTGTGCTTGTGCGGATGCGGTGAGTATAAACCCTTTCTTGGTTTGGCAAATTTTTTGGGTGTCAGGTGTCATCTTGTGCCACCCTTGGCCACGACAACTGATGGGCATGAGAACTCAGAAACAACAGTAATGATTGATCATGAAAACGATGATTGCATAACTGCTATATAAGTGAAACCATGGTTTCGAAAGCATTTTAGCACATTATTACTGGAAGAGTGCATCCACAATGGGAGCCCTTTTGTGCAGACGTACCTTATAACATTATGTTTATGTATCTAATTAAAGCGGCAGTTATGGCCCTTTGGTGTGGTCGCACACCCGGCATCGACGAGATTTCAGCGCAAATGCTCAAGTATGGTGGCCAAGCCCTAATTGACAACATGACCACCTTAATGAACCGGCAAGGTTTTGTGCCCGGTTCTCTTTCGACACCTCCGTCAAGTGATGACGCACTATTGTGAGAGGAGCAGGCTGGTTTCCGAAGTGGGAGATCATGTATTGAACACATTTTTTTTTTTCTTGAGGAATTTTATCAAGCAACGCACCGAATTCCAATGGAAGCTATCAATTAATTAGCATTCATCGAGAAACACTGTGGAAAACAGTGCAAAGCTACGGTTTCCCAGCAAAGTTTGTCGACATTTTAAGGAACATCTACTATGAAACCAGTTGCTGTGTTCGCATGGACAGAGGCAATTCTGACTACTTCTGGATTAATACTGGTGTCCACCAGGGATGCATGATCTCGCCGTTCCTCTTCATCCTCGCTGTAGATTTCGTCATGCGACATGTCACCGAACCAGGCTACTATGGCTTGCTTGGGGAGATGGTAGATGAATTGTGGATTTGGATTTTGTCAACGATATCGTCCTCCTTGCAGCTATAAAACGCAATATGTTAAAGGCACAATGTCATTTTCGCCACTAGAGGGTGCGTATTCAAAATAAACAAAGAGACAAAGGCGTAGTTTGATGATGCCGTGACTGAGTGTGGAATCATGGGAGTTGTCGTCTTCATCCCCACAGCCGACGCAATCCGACGGGACTCAGGCAGAAATCATGTTCATGGATGAGCTAATGATTTATTAACGTAGTAGAATGAAGCAAGGTGAGGCTGAAAGCCATCGAAGCAAAACGAGGCTGCTGAACGAGCGTGACACACGGCTTGAAAGCAGCGGAGCTTTTATTATGCCACAGTCGACCGCTTCCGCTCCTTCCGGTCATGCGTATGTGGGGTAAAGCAGCGCTGTTTTATCATACTAGATACATTTGAAAGTTCTGTTATAATGCTACTCTGTGCGGTCGTCTCCGGTCTAATAAAACGCACAACATATTAAAGCGTCTTTGGTGTTTCCATGCTTTCTACAAAACAAAACCGGAAATCAAGAGTTTAATAACGTCATTGGCAGGCGACACAATGACACTATGGACACGGTCCGTATCACTAGTTAAAATTGCTTATTTCTCTGGATTTAAACATTCTTCAAAACATTTGGGATAATGTAAGTACACAAGTCAGCAAAATATATAACACTGTTCTAGTGGTTTTTGGATAATTTAATAAAAAAATCTTACATATTGTGCCTTTACCAGGCTGCAGGATGCAAGCACAGTCAGTCAGACTATGATTTGATTACTGAAGTTGATTAATGTCACAAAAAAGGACATATCCTTCTGGTGAAGAGAAAAGAAAAAAGAAGAAAACTGAGGAAGAGGAAAAAACAGCAAGATAAAGGTAAGTTAAGACAATTCATGTAAACTAAACTATAGGCTATATTGCAAGCTAACATTAGCTGGCTAGTTAATTAACATAGCAAGAAAGTTAATGTTTGATTAAACATCCATAAATAGCCTTGACATCTTAATATATTATATAATACAACATATTACTGACATTTACATTTACATTACTTAGCTGGTTTTAGATTAAAGTTTTTGTCTTCTTTGTAAAAATATCTTTCCTGGGTATATATTTTGTAATAAAAAAAGTTCTGTTTTATACAATTGGTACTGATAACAGTTTAACATTGCTTACAACATGTTGAAATAACTTTTTTTAATGTTAAAATAACATTCTGTTCCGTCAACTAATACTCTTTTAAAACTTCCTTAGGAGCACCATTGAAATATTTTGGAGGTGGGCACAACCAACGCCACCTGCCCCAAGTGCCAGTGCTACAGCTGATGATGATACAGCATGTGAGTTTTCAACAATCCCAGATCAATATATTTATATGGATAAATCATGCCTTTTGAGAGATCTTTTTTGTTTGTTTGTTTTTGACAGACAGTTACCTAGCATTACCTATCATATTGACATCTAATATGGCTAACTTTATTTTATATTGTATTATTATATTTTTATAATTATTATTATTTTCATCTTTCATCAGGTCCATCCTCTGCAGGGGAGGAGCACTTACCAGCACCTTCATCCACTGATCCTACTATTCCTTCCATGTCTGTTTCAACCTCAGAAGAAGTGGTAGGACAGTTAGTAGTACAGCAGCCATTGTGTATGCTCAGTTTACTGTAGAATATCCTGTGATTAATATTTCTAATTATAATTATCAATGTAATTTCCTTATAGGTCATTCTACTTCTGTGGTCATTGGGATCACGGTCACATCTACTCCCTTAGCAACTTCCACCACCACCTTGGCAGGTTCTGCAGCAGAAGCTGCCACCTCAGGAGGAACTGGAGCAGACTCATAGACTTGAGTGGGCTCTGGAGTGGACTCGTAAACTGTAAGCTCTGGAATTAACTCGTAGACTTGAGTGAGCTTAGGAGCAGATTCATAGACTGGATCAGGTTCTGGAGTGGACACTGAGGGCTGACGGATTGGAGTGGACTCTAAAGGTTCCCAGACTGGAGCGGGTTCCTGAGTGGACTCTGAGGGCACCCAGACTGGCGTTATAGTTCATTTTTTATGCCCTTCACTCGCAAACTTCCCTCCGTCTCGTTTACTTGGATGTACATTATTGATTATGTTGCATGAGTGCCCAATACTGGCGGAACCCTTGGAATGGGCTGAATTGGAACGTCCTATGCCCTTGATCACTTAGAATCCTGTATTCTAATAGATAAACAATAAACTAATAATCTTCCTCAATTAAACTTGATCTGCGATGGCGTCATAATCGCTTTGCATTGTGCTCTGTGGAGTGGCCTGAAGTGTGAATATGAAGCAGACTCCCTCAGTCAAAATGGAGGGGTCGAGGGTCTGTCCATATAAACTTCCCTCGTCCACTTCACAAAGTGGAACACACTTCAAAATGGCAGCGGGGATGCCCCCGAGGGGAAGTGCTTAGTGAAGTTCGCGAGTGCGTGTTTAAATGTGAAATGGAGCGCAGCCAAGGAGAGCGGGCTGCTCAGTAACCTCTGGGACCACCAGAGTCGGGTTCTTCAGAACCACCACTTGGGACCACCGGAGTCAGGTCCTCCAGATGGAGGTATTTGATGAAATCCCAGAAATCCAGGATTCTAAGTCCCTCCATCTCACACAGGGGAAGTGGGTCATGTCTGGGTGAAGCCTCCTACCTCCATTCCCTGCTGGTGCAGAGCCATCAAGGACTGATGTTGTGCCATCCGCTCCTTCTTAGTGGCTGGAGAAAGAATTTGAATGCCCATGGTCCAAAAGAAAACAGACAAACACTGCCCAACTGTTGGATCTGTAGTGGCTTCAGTATTCTGTCACGGAATACTCAGGGAAAACATTGAAGATCAAAGTGCTGTTTAATCCAAGAAACAAAGATCCAAAACGTGCCTACATCTCCCCCTCACTGACAGAATTTCATATGAAATGTTCACATGATATTACCGTATTTTAGATTCCGACTTGTAAAAACCATTCACGTCCTCGTCTTTTTATGAGTTGTTTTCCGAAGCTTCTTTATGAGTTGTTTTTCTCACTTCTCAAGACAGCCACCGACACATAAGCATTGGTGAAATGGAAGGATTTTGCACTCCGTCTTTCACAGGGGAAAACTATTGATGAAGCTGAAATGGCCCTCTTGGAGGCAGAAAAGAATCGTTGGAGAGATGTTCTCACAAGCTTAATCAGTATTATTCATTCCTTGGCAGAAAGAAATCTGGCACTCAGGGGATCTGTTGATAAATTACATATATCTCATGTTTAACCACTAAAGCCAGCAGCAAATGTCAGAAGAACAAGTCGAGTTGAGGCTGCTCTCATTGGGATACATGAGCACTGAGCGCCCGCTGATCGTGTGGAGCTCACGTCTCCGAAATCAGTGGCACACATTTTCAAATAGTCGCTGTCTTTATAAATAAACTGAAGAATTGAGTTTTAAACAACTATATTCTCACCTGAAATACTTTTAAAACTCGAACTCGAAGTCCAAACTACCAAAGACGCAAGTCCGAAATTTGCATACTTGCTATTGAGAAACGCGTGCAGACCAACGTCACCAGACGATTTGCCTATTTTTCATGGTACTTTCGATGGAAACGCAGACAGCAACCGGTCTGGAGGAAAAAAAAAGTTCCTGGGACAAATTGTTCCAGGAAATTTTGGTGGAAAAGCGGCTTAATTCTTAAAAGGCTTGAAGAGTTGAACATCCCTTTCCAGGACTGTAGGGGACAATCTTATGACAATGGTGCAAACATGAAGGGCCGAAATAAAGGTGTGCAGGCTAGACTGTTAGCAAAAAATCCATGTGATTTTTATATGCCTTGTGGAGCACATACCTAAAATCTAATGATTTCATATGCTGCTAAAGCGTCCAAGGATGCCACTTGATTTTATTTATTTATTTATTTTTTGGAAATGTGGAAAAACTTTACACTCTTCTCAGGGTCTCCTCAAAGATGGGCCATATTGCAGAAGTATGTGGATGTCACACTCAAGTCCTGGAGTGAAACGCGATGGGAGAGCGGAGTTAACAGTATTGCACCTTTACGCTACCAAGCAGGAAAGGTTAGAGAAGATTTGTTGGAAGTCAGGGAACAGACTAAAGACTCCACAGTGAAAGTTGAGGCCCACTCTCTTGCTGAAGAAATTGGCTCATTTAGATTTAAAATTTGCTGTGTCATCTGGTATGACATTCTCTCCAGAATTAACACCACAAGTAAGCACATTCAATCAACCAACACCTCACAAAGGCATCCTATATGATAAAATAACCTGCTGGAAAAACACTTAAGTTTACTGGTGTTCATTTGCTCTTCAGCTTTACCTGTCTCAAACCTCAATGCACAGCATTATTGACTATGAATTATTTGAAAATCATATTCCTTTCTTGATGATAAATTATTAAACATCTAGTTTTTTTCTCGTAACATTTTCTTTAACCTTATGTTTTAATCAAGCATAATTGTTTAATTTTTATCATGATTATTGCATAACCCCTCCTTCAAGTACTCATTTAATTGAAGACATGAAAACACTTCCGGTGTCCTTGTAAACCAGATGGCTTAAAACCTAGATTTAGGTGTGGGGTTATGGTAAGGGGATAGAAAATACAGTTTGTACAGTATAAAAACCATTACGCCTATGGGGAGTCCCCATAAACCACATATACCAACGTGTGTGTGAGTAACCCTATATTATAATAAAACTTGATTTTTGAGCTTGGTCCTGAACATACTGAGTTGGAACTTACCGCCTTCGTAATAGTGTTGTGACAACTCGTCAAAGGATCTCTCATAATTCTGCTCCCCATAGGAAGACTGCTGATAGGAATACTCCCCATGGCCTGTTGAAAAAAGACATAATAGTACACACCTACAGGGAAAAAAACAAAAGTGGAACAAATTGCCCTCACAGCTCGCAGACATTCAGACAACTGTTTGCACATAAACAAATTCAGCTGAAATGCAAAAAGACCAGCACACTGTTATTTTTCATGTAAATTAAACGTGTGATTGTTCATTGTGTTGATATAAAAGTTGTTGATATTTGCTGTGTTTTTGCCTGATGAAGACTGCTTGTGGTTCATGAAACTACATTATCGTTTTTTGGAAGCAAAAAATAAATAAATAAAAAATAGTGTGCCGGGCTTTTTGCATTTCAACTAAGCTTTCTCTTGATCGACCTGTTTAACAGATTTTTAGATGTGTGCATCCTACTTTGAATTGACATACAAACTCACACAAAAGAAAACAGAAGCCTCAAATGACCAATCTTTTAGCCAGCAACAACAAAGCGAGGAAGGAAAGACAAATCTGAAATTTCAGCACACCAAAAAAAAAAAAAGATTTACAGGCAATGAAGACACTCTTATAGAACTTAAGCTTGTTCTCAAGTCTGCTTTAGTCATATTTTTATGGGGGAAAAGGATATTTCAGAAACTGGGTTGTGATATATATGAATGAATGAATGAATGAATGAATGAATGAGGAAAATTTCTGGATGAGAGCTTGGTTACCATCCGAGTAATACTGTTGGCTAACAGGCTCGCTGGAGCTTTGAGTGTGTCCATACTGCTCTCCGTAGAACTCCTCCTGGCCCATGTACTGCGGGGCTGATCCTGTAAGACAGGTGACACCAGGGTTGGTAAAGCAGCCGATCTGACAGCAGCATCAGAAGAATGGACTGGGAAGGTTTTGGGCTTTTCTGAAGGGAGAGAAAGTGCTCTAGCTGTCTGTGTCTGTTATGTGCTAAATATATATTGCAGCCGAAGCAGCAGGCAAAATATATTTTGGGATCTTTCTAAATTCAAGATGCATGTTGTCAGTGTTCTTGAAACGAATAAATCTGGATGCAAGTCCTTAATAAGACCTATGTGTAAGCAAGAAAACTTAGTTTACATCAATATAAAAATGATGCCAAGGTCATAGTAACCCCCTCACTCCAAACAAAGATAAAGAAAAAAAAAACCAAACAAAAAAAAACAAACAAGGGGGAATGATATGAAATGTAGATTCATGATCTGTGCTTTGTATGTCGCAATAAATCATTTCGTATTTTTAAAAAAAATGTAATAATAATAATAATTATTATTATTATTACTATTCTTTCTTTAAATGGGGTCATCGGATGCCCATTTTCCACAAGTTGATATGATTATTTAGGGTCTTAATGAAAAGTCTATAACATACTTTGGTTAGAATTTCTCAGTGGTAGTGTAAAAACACCCATTTTACCTTGTTAAAATCAGCTCTTTTCACTGCAACCCGTTTTGTTGCATTTCCCTTTAAATGCTAATGAGCTCTGCTGACCCCACCCCTCTCTTTTGTGGGGTGACAAGCCATCCTGTTTACTTTAGCTACATTTAGCCGCGAAACTTGCTAACTAGCACACTATTAGGAAAGGCGATTTGCAAAGATTCATAGAAAACACTTACACTCACTTCATCTGTAGGTGAAGCTGGATCACAAATGATTCACGCAAACAAACGCATTTAGGTACATCGGGGGGCGCATTCCCTTCAAAAACGAAAGTAACATTAATCCTCTGTGTCTTAAGTGGCTCAGATGTCGGGAGTAAATGACAAATGCTATGTTCATTCATACATCCAACAACAAAACACCTCAATCACTTAGGAGACATTCTTGCTTATGTCCCTGCTCCGGCGTCGAAACAGTGGCGGTCAGACTGTTACAGCTCACTCAGGGCGGGTCTACGGTAAGACGGCAGTGTCAATCAACTATCGTGGGAGGGGCCTGGGTCTGTGTGACGTTACACAGCCAAGAATCAGAGAATGGCTTGATTTGAAAAAGGGGATATTATTTATAGAGATTAAAAAATACCACTGGGTGGATTTTTATCATTATAGGGTGGTTGTGAACACACACTGCCAACACACATTTATGTTCAAACAACATGTAAAAGTGAGTTTTGCATCCGATGACCCCTTTAATAAATAAATTAATACATGTATGGATCTATGGAGTACTAGTGGTAGTGTGCAGAAACTCCAGATATCACTACATCCTTTCTACATCCTATCACTACATAATCCAAATCATACATAACACATAAGAGTAATATCCAAATGGCACTAAAGCCCAGTGTCACGAATTCAGCCTCTGTGGTTCCTCTCGACCGGCACCAGAGGGCACCCTCCCCGGAGTATTAATTTCTCCACAGACTTCATTTCCCATGACCCCGTCCGTACCTGGCGCTGATTACAGTGCACCTGTTTCTCATTCCCGTGGGACTACTGAAACACTGCACACACACACACACACACAGAAACACTCCACACACACACACACACACACACACACACACACACACACACACACACACACACACACTCACACATCCAAAACTCATTCTATTTTGTTGTAGATCATTAAATCATTACGCTGCCTCAGAAGCCTGTCTGGAATCAGTTTCATGAGGTGCCTTTGTACAAAAACGCTGCCTGCAAAGTCATTGCCTGATAAGGCAGTGAGGTAGCAAGTAGGGGTGGGCAATATGGCAAAAATATCATATCACAAATTTCTTTTTCTTTTTTCAGAAATATCACGATTTTATCACGATTCTTTGTCATGTTGGTTTTACTATTTTGCAAGTTGTCTGAGCATTACAGCCAAACTAATTTCCCTATTATAAAGACAAAGCCTTTCAAGGTAACAAAATATAAAAAAGAATGGCGGATATTTAGGCTAAAGTGGGCGAAGATAAAAATCTTTGTCATTATTTTATCTTTCTTATAAAAAAATAAGAACAAAGATACACATTACAAATTTATTTATTTAGTCATTTATCAGATGCTTTTATCCAAAGCGACTTACAAATGAGGACAACAGAAGCAATCAATTGTAGTATTAAAACAACTAAAAACAGATCCAAAACTAAAAGCTAAAACTTCATAAATACTACCGATACACATTTAAAAAAATAAAGAGATTAAATAAAAATGACAAATGCATACAACAAAATTTCAAAACTTAACATTGAAATGAAAAAAGAAATAAAGCTCAAAACAATTCAAAATATTAAAGAACAAAAGGTATGAGTATAATAATGATTCTACCATAACACTAAGCCAAACACCAAAATTAAACAACTACATGTGTATGTACAACCATACACACATACATATATATATACATACACATTTATAAATTCAATATATATATTATTTCATTTCCATTTAGTTTGTTGAAGTATTAAAAATAACTCAAATTAAATAAAACTAAAAACTTAATAAAAGACCTATACAGACATAATAAATTCAGACATAATTTAACTAAAATTAAAATAAAGAACAAATACAAATACAAATCAAATGACAGTAATTTATCAGTAATCCTACAAAATAACACTTGCATGCTAAAAAACAACAACTTACTTATACATAATAAGAAATGGTTATAAAAACTGAAACAGATCTGAAACAAGTAATAGGAAAGAGGAGAAATAAAAAGCGATACTTATCCTGCCCGTTGGAGTTGATGGTCTTTACACTCTTCGGTCTTCACACGAGGAGGCCATCATGCGACGGCTGTAAACTAAGCTTTTTTATACCCTTCTAATAAAATACTACATTAATTCAGCTGGACACACTTTCCTTATTTTCTCCACAACAAATGGCCAAGCAAACGCAGACACTGACAAGATACGTGATACAGAACAAGACCAAACGCGATATCAGCACGTCTCCACACAGTAAACAAAACATACAAATACACATAAGAAAAAAAAATAAAACAAACAGTGTTTTATTTTTAGGTCAATAGGTGTATTTAGCAGGATCATTCAAGAAATTGAATGAACAAATATAAGAATAAAACACTATATAGATCGATTCCTATTAAAGCAACTGTATTAAAGTTTTTCAGTCAAGAATAGTGAGTGATTTCTCTCTTTGTGTTTTGTTGTTTTATTAACATTAAAGCAATATTTCACCCAAAAATAAAAGTCATCTGTCTGTCAATTCTACCACAGTGTTTTATTTTTATACCATCATTTACTCACTCAAAAGTGGTTTTAAACATGAATGAGTTTCTTTCTTCTGCTGAACATGAATGCTATTTTGAAGAACATTGAAAACCAAACAGTTGCTGGTCCACAGTGACTTTCATAGTATTTTTTTCCTACCATCAAAGTCAGTGTGGACCAGCTACAGTTTGGTTACCCACATTCTTCAAAATATCTTCTTTCGTGTTCAGCACAAGAAAGAAATGAATAGTTACAGGTTTGGGACAACATGTGAGTAAATAATGACAGAAATTAAATTATAGAGTGAACTATCCCTTTAATGACAGTCGGCAGGATGTTTAGTACTGTCCCTTTAAGAGCTGCGCGCATCTAATATACAGGCACGCATCCGTTTTTCTCTCAGCTGTTTACTTTCATTTTAGACATAACCAACTGAGTCTATATGTAAACCTTGTGTGTTTTGACAGTATTAGCACAAAAGATAACTTAGTGATCACTGATCAGGCGCTGTTTAACAGGTTTTTTAGTGCGCGCGCTTCGGGTGTACATGCTCAGAGAAAGCGCACGTCAGACCAGCACGCGAATTAAACATTTAAAGGGATAGTTCACCCAAAAAAGAAAATTTGATGTTTATCTGCTTACCCCCAGGGCATCCAAGATGCAGGTGACTTTGTTTCTTCAGTAGAACACAAACAAAGATTTTTAACTCAAACCATTGCAGTCTGTCTGTCATATAATGGCAGTCAATAGGCTCCACAGCTTTGAGAGTAAAAAAAAAAAACATACGCAGACAAAACCAAATGAAACCCTGCGGCTCGTGACGATACATTGAGGTCTTAAGACACGAAACGATCGGTCTGTGCAAGAACATCCAATGAGTGACGTATATGCGTGACAGATCGCTTCCGCTCATGCGTCTACTATGCCAGAGCACATACACACATCACGCTCCGGATGTTGTGAACGCGCTCTGGACAGTTGGACATTGCGGTGGATCAGAGGTAAAAAAAAATGATATAAATAATGTTCAGTTTCTTGCACAGACCGTTCGTTTCGTGTCTTAAGACTTCAATGTATCGTCACGAGTCGCAGAGTTTAATTTGGTTTTGTCTGTGTATGTTTTTTTGACTCAAAGCCGTGGAGCCCATTGACTGCCATTATATGACTGAGAGACTGTAACGGTTTGAGTTAAAAATCTTTGTTTGTGTTCTACTGAAGAAACAAAGTCACCTACATCTTGGATGCCCTGGGGGAAAGCAGATAAACATCAAATTTTCATTTTTGGGTGAACTATCCCTTTAAAATAGTTTTAAAGGGCAAGGCTTTAAGTTTTAATGTGCAAGGCTTTAAAGCACATGCAAATAATGTACTTTTGTGATTGCGAATAAGCGCAGTGTCCTGTGAGAGTAACTCTGCCGCTGGGTTAACACTGATGTGAATGTATGTCGCGTTGTACAGTATATTAAGCCGGAGGCGCCAGAACTGCAGCTGATAGAATGTGCGCTGTAGCACCATACTACGATATTTCTTCAAAAGCAGATCGTGGAGACATTTTAATTGTCCACGATCAAAAATCGTCTTATCGCACACCCCAGCTGCCTAAAAGACCTTTTCCACACTGAATGCGAAAACGTTTGAATCGAAACAATAGATCCCTATGGAGCTATTCACACCAGGTGTGATCATTCACGGCGCGAAAAAGCAAGGATTTTTTTTTCGTCCTTTGTGTCGATTTTTTCCGCATCACTCTGCGATGAAACGGGCCGTCCAATCAGATTTCAGCTTAGGTCATGTGCCCAGAGCAGCTGCTGTTGCACAAAAGGGTGAGAGTGGTGACGCTGTTTCCAAAACCAGTCTAAACAAACACAGAAGAAGAGTGTTCAGAGAGAGAAGAGAGTGGATGCCGAGTTCTTGTTATCTTTGGTATCTGAGAACAGATTTATTCTCACATGTTCTTTATACAGAATATAATTTCTATTAATGCTCCACTGAATGTGATCTGAAGAGCACTGTCCATTTTCTTCCACCTGTGCGAGTGTTATGAGTTATTAGAGCGCGTTCACTCAAGATCTGTTAATCATGGGATCATATCTCCTGCCTTTACATATGAAAAAATGAGAGAAACATTTATCTATACATGAAACATGAAAGCAAATAGACATATGATTATGATGATATATTTTCTGTATGTTTAGATAACAATAAAGGATGTTTATGACAAATGAGAAGCAAGTGTCGCGTTCAATCCATTATAAAACATACAAAGAGTGCATGTCTGCCTATTATAGAATACAAATCCACTTTAGATCTCAATGGAAATTATTACAAGCACTCAATGATGGTTTAAAGTGGGTTTTAAGCAAAAAACAATCACATTTTCAAATTTAGCTTGATGCTAATTGTACCTCTATTTATATTTCAAGATGTATTCTGATGTATTTCTGGTGTAGAACCAAACTTTATCTTAATTTAATGCTGTATATTGAGCAGCGGACAGTGCACTCAGTGTGAAACAGCCTTAAGTTATTGGATGCTGCCCATGTTTCCTCGCTACCTTTCCTTGCGTCTTGGCTCCACCCCCTTAAGCCCAAAACACACTGCACGATTTTAGCAATCCTATAAGATCACTGCATGTCACACTGTGCGAAATGGATCCAAGAAACTTGGCTACGACATGTGTGTAGACTGTACGATGATGACACGCATTAATATAGAATAATAAAACGTCATCAGCATGTGCCAGTGGTAAACAAAAAGAGCATGATAAATCACACTTTAGCAGTTGTATATTTTATGTGTGCTGAAAAAAAGTGGAAGCAGCGAAAGAGGAAGGGATAAGAGCTTGAGGTAAGCAGTTTTGTTTTAGCGCCATGCCGCGTTGATTTCATGTCGCATTTCTATTGGTTGGTCAGTAAATGTGGATCGTAGCAGCAAACACACTGTGCGATGATCATGCTGTATCATAGGTTATCTTTGGTCGCAAGACCGTGACAACGGCCATCTTTGAACTTCTCTCACTATACAACATAAGAGCATCGATTAGGAGCCACGATCACAGAAATCACCACAATTGTTTCACGATGCCAATCTTTCGTCCGGGACAGCTGAAAATCATGCAGTGTGTTTAGGGCTTTAGGATACGAGGGAAGGATGCAAGGATAGAAAATGAGGACAGAGGTATCAAAGGAACGGTTAATTGTACATTGGAATATTCTTGATCACTCGAGTGTCACTTGTCTCCAGTGAACTGAATTCATAAGTAAGAACCGGGAGATCTTGTGAGCACGCGCGTGCGCGACTGATGCTGCTAAAAGTAAGTTACTAATGTCGAATTTTAGGATTAATTATTGTAACTGAAAATCATATTTAGGTAAAAGCTGTCAGTTGTTTGTGAACTAAATCTGCTGTAAAGGGTGATCTGTTTAAGCCCACTGAAATGCTTGAATGCAGACAGATCAACATCAGTGTCTCTATGTTTTAGGTAAAAAAAACATTAAAATAACACAGATTAAATAAAATAACTCATGCATGTTCATCTTCCCCGCTGCTGTAACGTTAGCAGTTTTACTAAAATGCTATGCATTTAGCCCTATGTGACATCTGTTTTTATATTGTTTGTCAGCACACATAGCCTAAGTTATTATGCATCTGGATCAACTAGCCGAGTAGACAAATATAAATGTTTATTCATAACCATGCTGAAAATAAGTCAATGTTAGCTGATGCTAACTGTCTAGCTAACAAGCTTGCTGTTGCTAAGTTGAGGTAATTTTTAGATATAAAGTCCAAATATTTTTATTTAACCACCTAGATTGATTACATCTGAGGGAAAAGAAAGGATGTGATGTTCAGAACATTGTAACTACAGTAATTATCAAAGTGGGAAGTGATGCCCTCCGGGGGCATTTGGCCAGGGGTGTTTTTACACCACAGACAAGGTTCGAGAAGCTTGTTTATGTTTTGACCCTAGACTGATTCCTTGTTTTGTGATCATTAGCTGCCTGCCCTGACCATTGCCTGTTGTGTGGATTACTCTTTTGTCTAGCCTTCGATGTTACTGTTTGCTGGTATTTTGACCCTGCCTGTTTGACTACGCCTTTTTTAAATAAAGCCTGCAGGTGGATTCTCAACTCTGTTGTCATGCTCCATGTTACAATACTGATCTTCCTGTGTATTGTTTGCCGCCTGCTCCAACCTTGTGCCTGCCCTGTGCTAAGTATCCAGTTCTCTTCCAATGACACGGCTTCAATGTGGAAAGGTCTGAAAGAGATCACCAACTACAAGACACCATCCCCCAGCACTGTGGAGAATAAACAACTGGCAGACGATCTGAATGAGTTCTATTGCAGGTTTGAAAAAACACCATTAACACCTCCAACTACCCCCCTCTCCCCCACTCCTGCACTTCAGATCAGTGAAGATGATGTGCGTCAGGTCTTCAGAAAGAACAAGAGAAGAAAGGCACCAGGCCCTGACGGTGTCACACCAGCCTCTCTGAAAACCTGTGCTGACCTGCGGGCCTCCATCTTCACACACATCTTCAACAGCTCACTGGAGCTGTGCGAAGTCCCTTCATGCTTCAAATGCTCCACCACCCCTTCCCAAAGACACCCAAAATTACAGGACTAAACATCTAGACAGACCAGGGACTTATGTGAGGATCCTGTTTGTGGACTTCAGCTCGGCTTTTAACACTATCATCCCAAACCTCCTCCTGCCCAAATTAACTCTCTCTCCGTGCCCACCTACATCTGTTAGTGAATCAACAGCTTCCTGACAGATAGGCAGCAGCTAGTAAAGCTGGGAAAATTCTAATCCAGCACCCGTACAATCAGCACTGGTGCCCCCCAGGGTTGTGTTCTCTCCCCACTGCTCTTCTCCCTGTACAGGAGCTGCTGAAACAGTTCTACTCTGGCATTCTGCCATCATTCAATCCCTCCTCTGCACTTCAATAACTGTCTGGTTCAGCTCAGCTACCAAATCTGACCTCTGAAGACTACGTAGGATAGTCCGGACTGCTGAGCGAATCACTGGTACAACCCTCCCCACTCTCCAAGAAATGTACTTATCCAGAGTGAGCAAAAGGGCTGGCAAAATCACTCTAGACTAGGGCTGCACGATAAATCGCATGTGATATTTAATGCGCATCTTGTCAGTAAAGCCGGTTCTGTAATCAGCGGTAAATCTCCATCATGTGCGTGCTTTCACATTGAGCAGCCGTTGTTCACTGACGAGGGCTCTGTGTAGTTAATGCTGCTCAATGTGAAAGCACGCACGTGATGGAGATTTACCGCTGATTACAGAACGGCTTTACTGACAAGATGAGCATTAAATATCGCATTTTTCCGCCCATAAGATTGGTTTGCAGTAATCGATCTGAAGCATGTGTACATCCATCCTCGACACAGACCATTTCTTTGGTTTGCTTTGAAGAGTCGAACATACCAGTACAATGTCCTCCCCTTTGGGCTCTCCCTGCATCTTCTCCAAAGTTGCAGAATGTGCTCATCTCAACGACTGGCTTAAATTAGCTCATTCATGAGATCTGTTGTGTGAGCATGGGGATCAGGCACCACAGCCATCTGGTGCTTCAGGTCAACTGGGAAAATAGCAAGCTCTTCCCTGTGCAGAGCATCTCTTTATTATCTTGATAAAGCTTGATTGATGCATATGAGATCACTTTAGCACTGGCTGCACAGCCGATTCCCGAGACGGACATGGCATGGGCGGGTGATCATTATGCCGTTTATTCATTATTCAGCCCATGGTAAGACCTTGTTTTTCTATGGGCAGGACTGTCCTTAGAACAAGAGTTGAGGCATGTTGTTGTCACAACAGATGCCTCCAGATTGGGCTGGGGTGCTGTATGCTAGGGGGCCACAGCCTCAGGCCCCTAAGCAAAGATCTCAAATGCAGTGGCATATCAATTACCTTGAGTTGCTAGCTCGAGCTGCTTGCCTTACACTGGTTGGAGCCACTGCTTCATGGCAAGCATGTGATCGTCCAGATGGACAACCTGCGATGGTGCAAAACACCTGCCATCTCCTCCTCTGGAGTCAGACGTGGCTGAAATCACTGCAGGCCATTCACATTCCGGGGGAGCTCAATTGTGCAGCCGATGCACTCTCATGACATCCCGAGAGAATGGAGACTCCACCCCCAGGTGGTCCAGCTCATCTTTTCTCTTACATGGAGTCCTCCCATTACCAGCTGTTTTATTCCCTGACCAAGACCCAAACTACCGCATCCCCTGACCCGGCACAGATGCACTGGCATACAGCTGCCCCTGGGGTCTGCTCAAGTATGCATTTCCCTCAGTGAGCCACATTGCACAGATTCTGTGAAGATCAAGGAGGACGAGAAGCAGGTCTTGATGACTGTGCCCTGCTGGTCCACCCATACCTGGTTCTCAGACCTGATGCTCCTCGTGACAGCCCCTCCCTGGTAAATCCCCTTGAGGATGGACCTTCTCTCTCAGGGATGGGGCACCATTTGGCACCTGTGTCCAGATTTCTGGAACCTACACGTGTGGCTCCTGGATGGGACATGGCAGACTTAAGTGGCCCATCACAGGCTGTGATAAACATTATCACTCAGGCTACAGCCCCCTCTACTAGGCAGGCTTATGCTCTGAACTGGAGTATGTTTGTCGAGTGGTGTTATTCTCACTAGAAGCCCCTGGAAATGCCCGATCAGTGTTGTGCTTTCCTTTCTGCAAGAGAGGTTGGAGAGGAGGCTGCACCTTCCACCCTGAAAGTGAATGTTGCCGCCATTGTGACACATCATGCACAATGGATGGCAGGTCCCGGGGGAAGCACAACCTGATCATCAGGTTCCTAAGAGAGGCTAGGAGGTTGAATCCTCCAAGACTGCAGCTCATCCCTTCTTGGGATCTCTCTGTGGTCCTTACTGGACTACAGAGAGCTTCCTTTGAGCCTTCGGGTCAGTTGAGCTTAACATTCCTGACCACGCTCACTTCCACCATGAGGGCAGGGGACCTGCTGGCATTTCTGATCAACAAAATGTGCTTTGAATTTAGGTCAGCTGACTCTCACATGATCCTGAGACCCCGGCCTTTATATGTTCCCAAAGTTCCCACCACTCCCTTCCAGGATCCGGTGGTGAACTTGCAAGCACTGCCCACAGAGGCGGCAGACCTGGCCCTTGCGTTGCTCTGTCCCATCTGCGCTTTGCACATTTACATGGACTGCACCCGGAGCTTCAGAAGCTCCGAACAGCTCTTTATCTGCTTTGGAGGTCAGCAAAAAGGAAAGGCCGTCTCCAAGCAGAGGTTGGCTCACTAGTGGATGCCATCACCTTGGCATACCAGACATAAGGAGCACATGGAAGGGCACCCTGGGAAAGGGGGGTCACTCCACTAGGAGCATTGGCTCTTCCTGGGCGTTGGTGCACGGCACCTCTCTGGCAGGTGAGGACCAACCGCCGTGGGACCTACCACATTGGTTCATTCAATATGTACAACTGCCCTCATGTCAGTCCATGTGTGCATGCTCCACATGTCACCTCCCTATGGGAAGGATGTGGCTCCGCAGCTCCCCAAATGTGTAGTTGTCATTACTGAGAAAGTTTTCATTTAAAAAAAAAGAAGAGAAAGAAGAAAAGCCTAACAACTTATTCCGTAACAACTTATATTCAACTCTTCTAAGATTATCTGGCTTACCTAGGGTGTTGGGAAAGTTATGGCTTGCAACTGCATCTGTCTAGACATGCTTCTGCTCACCACCACTTGCATCTCGTAACAGTTCAGTGGTTGTAGTGCTTTCTGTAGGGACCCCAATACGTCAGTATCGACGTAACATCCAATGTGACTGACTGAAAGGGAACATCTCGGTTACATGTAAACCTTGTCTTGGTTACATGTAAACCTCATTCCCTGAAGAAGAGGACAAAGAGGAAACGTCTCCTCAGCATTAACCTGAATGCGTGGATGCATGCCGCCATCTAATTGTAACGAGGCGTCAGCAGAGTGAGGATCCATCTGCAGTTTATTAGGCGGTCGAGGGGCCGGCTTATCCGGATGCGTTCTATGAAACTCGTTAGTAAGTGTAGGGTCGAGGATGTCCTTAGCATTGACCCAGGAACGTTCCTCCGGGCCGTACCCCTCCCAGTCCGCCAGATATTGGAGGATGCCACCCCGACGTCTGGAATCGAGTAGTTCTCGAACCTGGTAAATCTCCTCGCCGTCAGCCATGATGGGTGGAGGACCCTGGTCACTGGTCTGCTCCTCCTCCTCCGCTCTCGGACCACCAGCGGGTTTGAGAAGTGAAACATGAAAAGTGGGAGAAATGTGATAATTAGCGGGTAATGCCAAATGGTAAGAAACTGGTGTAATTTGTTTAATAATTTGGAAGGGACCCACATACCTGGGACTGAGCTTTCTGCATGGGAGTCGGAGGCGGAGATCTCGTGTAGACAACCAGACCCATTGCCCTGGAGTGTATTCAGGATTGGGGCGACGGTGACGATCAGCTTGCGATTTTTGTCTTCTAACAGCATGTAGTAAGTGTATGTGAGCTTGGTTCCAGATGTTCTCGCTCCTCTGGAGCCAGTCGTTGACAGCAGGTACTTCAGTGGGTTCTCCTGACCATGGAAATAACGGTGGTTGGAAACCCATTATACATTGAAACGGAGTGAGTCCAGTAGAGGGTTTTTGTAGTGAATTTTGAGCATACTCTGCCCACATGAGGTAACGGCTCCAGTCAGTCTGATTCTGTTGGCAGTATGATCTGAGGAATCGTGTGATCTCCTGATTGAGTCGTTCTGTCTGGCCATTGGATTGTGGATGATATCCTGAGGTGAGGCTAATGTTGACATTAAGTTTTTGAAAGTAAGCTGACCATACTCTGGAGGTGAATTGGGGCCCTCGATCCGACACGATGTCCTCAGGGAGCCCATAGAAGCGAAACACAAAGTTGCATAG